CAGAACAGGGGGCAGGAACAGATGGGAGAGAGGGTTTTTCTGTTTTGTGATAAATCATTGCACTTCTTGAAATAAATGCTTTGGTTTTGCCTCTGCTAAAAAAACTTTAAAAATTAAACATGTGCACTGGGGTACATACATGTCTGGAGCAAACATGCCAATGGTAGCACTAGGTGGCATATTACTCATATACACTGAACTACAGTTATTTAGGGACTTATTTAGGAGTTGGGAATTGGAAGGTGGGAAGGGAAACATGCCAAACAATGGTGAGGAGTTGTAAAGATGTTTAGGATCCTGAGAGATTTGTTTAGAGTTGTAGAGAAGAGCAGTTCCATTCATATTTGTAGGTAAGCCCAAAATTTGATCTATTGCAGCATCTTTATAGATGCTCTAATCAGCTCAAATAGATGCTCCTGCCTGCTCAAATCAAAGACCCACAAGAAAAGTGTAGAAAGGTATGACTCTGTGTGGGATATTTTAAATAGTTAAACAGAAGGGTCAGTGAGATCCAACTTGGAACTGGTGGAAAAACAAAACACTAATTGCACATACATGCTATGTGATTGCAATATTAGTGTATAAAACACTGCTTTGGTTTTTGCCCATGTGAGTAACAGAAGATAATAAAAATCTTCTAAAAGTCCAGTGACTTTTGTTCAACATTATCTGACCTGTTTCTTCATAAGATAAACTCATGGCCATTGGAAACTGACCCTTGTTCTGATGAAGAGGGATTTGTGGGGTTTCCTTGCAGCTCAGTACACACTGATGAGCTGCACACCTTGGCTGACCATTTCCTTCCCTCCCCTATATTTTGCACTGGCACATTTTCAGAACATCGTGGCGGTGGGCGCGGGGTTCTGCGATGGACTGAGATTCGGTGACAACACCAAGGCAGCAGTGATACGCCTGGGCCTCATGGAGATGGTGGCCTTTGCCAAGATGTTCTGCAAGGGACCAGTGTCAACAGCCACCTTTTTGGAAAGCTGTGGGGTCGCCGATCTCATCACCACCTGCTATGGGGGACGCAACAGAAAAGTAGCAGAAGCCTTTGCTCGCACAGGAAAAGTAAGGAGTATTTTGAAATATTTTATGCTAATGCATGAAGAAGTCCTTCCATGTTTTACAAAGGCATCGATTGTTTACCTTGATAACTGCTGGTATCACAGCAGTATCCCCTCTGACCCAATCAGTCTTCTCTCTTCTAGTCCATTGAGGAGCTGGAAAAGGAGATGCTGAATGGACAAAAGCTGCAAGGTCCCCAGACCTCAGCCGAAGTCTACAAAATTCTGAAACAGAAAGATATGCTCCATAAGTAAGTGCTTTGATTTAAAAAAACAACAAAATCAACAACAAATTATGAGTGATTCATAACCTCCTTAACTGTACTTGTGTTTAATTATTTTATTAATTTCTACAAGAACAGCTTTCTACACCTTCGGCCACAGCTAGAGCCTGGCTCATTGCCAGGGTCAGTTGAATGGGATAAGGGCTGAGCAGTGTCAGAAGAAACAAGTCACAGGCAGGGAGTGGGTTCAGGGGATACTGTTAGTGCCTAATAGAAGACAGAGTAATGTGAGATCACATATTGGAACAGCAGGGAAAACAATCACAGAATATTCTGAGTTGGAAGGGACCCACAGAGATCATCACTCTTAAGCAATTGAGGACAGGAAACAGAAGAAATTGTAATGTAAAGAAGCCTCCCAGACATCCCCATCCCCCAAATAAGATTTAAGGCTGTACACAGAATCATCTTGCAGACATGATTTATGGGCCAATGGGTTTCTTGTTCTCAGTATACCAGTATACCACTGCAGCTTGCAGCAGTCCTGCTCTCAGTGCGAACCTGAACTTGGTTATGTCAGTACAAATTTCAGGATCATATTCCTAATCCAAGATTTTTACATGCACTGAACAGCTAATGTGTGCTGATATCAATACTTCAGTGTCACAAATACTGCTGAGGTAAAAAGTACCACTAATTCCTTGGGATGATGTAAGATTATTTATAATTTGAAACCTTTGCCTCAATTTACACAACAGAGCTAAACTTCCTTCCATCGCATTCCCTCTTATACATCAGCAGTATTGAGAAGTCAAACACTGCTAAATGAATCCTTAAAAACTTACTAGAATTGGAACAGATACAGAAGATTCAAGTGGCATTAATCTTTCAAATATGAGAGAGAAAAGGAAAGCTCATTTTGACAGCAGCTTTAAACCACAGCTTGATCTAATAATTATCCTATAATTGTACTTTGTTACATGCTCAGCTCCGAGTTGTTCAGTGGACTCATTTTTTACTACATAATGACTAAGACAGCTTGTAAAAGGAAAAGAATCCTTTAAGCCAAGAAAAGAAAATCATTAGACATTTTCATTCTTTTTAGTCCTTTGGATACCAGTAATGACTGCAAATAATATATCCATTTTGCACACAGCAGGAAAAGAGGATATTTAATTCAAAATTGTTTCTAAATAAAAAATACTGGATAGGTATTTTGTTTCCAAAACAGCTTTTCTCTGCTGTCACTCCCATAATTTGCCCCTCTTTAGCTCTTGTTCGTCCAGTAGTCTTCCAGTAAAGGCAGCCCCAAGCTAAAATTATATTGTAAAGATAAACAATATTTTTCCACTTTCAACAGAACAAAAATATTTTTTCCATTAAAATGGAATAGAAATATTCATATAAACTTTAAATACTATTTTAATTCCTACATGCTTCTTTCAGGTTTCCATTATTTACAACCATCTACAAGATCTGCTATGAGGGTCGATCAATCCAGGATTTCCTCAAGTGCCTGCAGAACCACCCAGAGCACATGTAGAGATCCCTTCTCTTCACCTGGCTGAATTCTCACCTTCCTGGGACTTCTGTTCACTCCACGGCAATTGAAGTAGAGAAAGAGGTTGTGTGACACTTGCTGAAAAAGCAACAAAGAATGTATTTCATTCCCCTTGCCCTGAGGGTAACAAAATCTGCCTTTAATTTCAACATTATACCTAAGGAATAAGAAACAAATGGAAAATTTAACAGTATTTATTTGAATTAGTAATGTGGGTATTTCCCTATAATTATTTTCTTGTTGACTGAAAACAGTTCCACTTGTAATTTCTACAACAGAGCTAAATAGCTCACATAAAACTTAACATTTTGGCTATAGGTATTTCTAGAATGGCACAAAACACAGAAAAATCAAAGAACTCATTCAAACAGATAAATTATAGTTTTAAAAAAAATCCAGGAGCAGTTAGATGCAATCACATGGGCAAATGCTGGATTTCCATAATTTCCCTCAAACATAAATAACATTTTGTATTTTGGGACATTTAGGCTTTCCTTGATTTAGTTTCCTAGTATAAGCTTCTTTGGAAAAATAGGTATTATTACTGTGCTCAAACACATCTGAATATTCATCAGATGTATAAATAAAACAGTTTAAGGGGTAGGGGAAAGGACAAGGGATTTGGGATGAGTGTATTGTTTGTTTCAAATCTGGGACATTAGGAATCCTGAATAGTAATCTGACCTTGATTAAACTTACTGCATTCCTTCAAACTAAAAAAAAAAAAAAAGAAAAATATCTGGAATAACCGAAGATAATTTTGTTAGCATCAGATTTTCTCAGCAAGTCCTCATCATTAATTGGTACCAGCTGAGAGGGGAGAAGTGGAGGTTGAGAGGGAGATGCACCCAGGGCTCAGCTTGCACAGTTTGTGCACTTGCTGATATTTTGAGGCAGCAACCAGTAACAGTGACAAACCCTCCGTGATACTTGACTTTTTATACAAGTATGGAAACGACCGCTACAGACGCACAGAACTCCTGCAAACTGGCATTTCACACCTGCAGGGCTGCATTTTAGCTGCACTGGGAAGCTCCACTGGTCTGACACCAGTGCAGCTCCCCGTGCCTTTCCAGACTGCAGTCATGTCCTGATCCTGCTCAAGCAGCACATCTTACACTCCAGGACAGAGATCTCCATCTGCTTCTGAATTTTAAACACAAACTGGGTTCACAGACCAGTGTTTTTTTTATTGTGCTATCAGTGGCATAAATTTTAGAAACACTGAAGTTTTTAAACCTTATAGCTGTACTTGGGTAACTTTACATACCTGATGTTTTTCAGAGATAAAACCATCTATAAAATGAACAGTGGTGCATTTTATAAGCTTTAATCCCCTTTTGAAATACTCCTATTTTGAGAGAAGGCAAAAAAGGAAGAGTAACCTACTTTTGCTGTGCTTTATCAGATTTTCTGAAATAGCAGAGAGGAAGGCAAGTTTTTTAAATCTATGTACTTGCTGTCATATTGCTTAGAGGAAAAAAATGAGCTAATTATAAAATAATTTCAACTCAATTTAGAGGAATGATAGGTCTTTCACATTTACTAGAGTAATATATATAAAATAATGTATTGTAATTACAAATATATTGTAAAAATCTCAGTCTCACAGCTAGCAAAGCTAGCTCAGATACCAAAAACCAGTGGCTGCAGCATCCCTGATCCTGCTGAACTGCAGCAAGGATAGCTCAGCTCCTCCTGCTCAGACTCCAGCCACAGCCAACAAACAGCTTGCGGCTCTGCAGAGCAACACCAACATTCCTGCCACTGAAATGGGAATCATGTGGCCAAATCCTTCACACAAAGCAGGGAATTTACGATCTTCAATTTCAACTGGAAAAATACTTACACACTGCACAGTTTCGAAGTATCAAATACATGAGGATGGGATAGAGAATTCAGGAAATTCCTTCCTTCACCATGAGGCTGAATTTCTGATAAGTCATGTATGAGCTAATAATAACATAGAGTATTTTACATTCAAAGTGTATCAAATAACAGTTTAATAAAGTGATCAATATGCAGACTTGATGTAATTTCATTTTTAAACATTGTCACAAAATAAATTACTGTTGTAATAGTGGTCCTTTATTGCACATTCTCTTGTAGTTAATCATTGTCAGCTCTCAAAGAAAAGGACAAGAAGAATTAATATTCTACAGATATTTTATTGAAGAATATTTTTTTCTTCTGTTGCATGACATACCTTTTTGAAACAGTAAAATAAGGAAACTTTTACTCCATAAATAACACAAATTAGCCCTTATATCTCAGTCCAGCCAAAATCTGTGTAAAATAGTTAGTTCTATATTTACATTCTGTACCAAAATAGGAAACACATGTTCAAGGTCAGCCAGTTCTCTCAAAACAGTTGTTTTATCTCCAAGGTAAGCTTCAAATTAAAAAGGCAACATTTGCACTTTGCAAGTCTGGTAGTTTAAGATCACGTTATTCAGTGCACAAACAGCCCCAGATCCTGAAGAGCAGTACATACATGCAAGCAGGCACCCACACATCCAGACAAGCTAAAAACAGGGGTTCAATCTTGCAGGGAAAACACCTTGAGCTGCTCAGCTGGCTGAAAGTCACTCCTTGGAAATGTGGAAAAGAAAGGATATACACCTCCCTTTCTACTGAATATCATCAAGCAGAAAGAATTTGCAGGACAGGAAGATTTAAAAACAACTGGCCCTCCCAATAAGGGATTGTGGATATGTCTGCTCTCAGACATCAGTCTCCCCAGTTTATTAGTGCTCAGCAGAAAGAATGAGCTGCGTTGGACTGACAGTCAATTAGCGGATGATATAATTCTCTTTCAGTAATTAACCTACATCAAGGGCTGTGACAGTATCCCAACACCTCAACTCATTTCAGGAGGAATGAATTGCTGCTTTTCAATGTGATTTTACTTGCTGCACTCTTCAGCCAAAAGCTATCCATCCTCCTTATAATTGCAACACTAGAAAAAATGTGTTCCTAAAATATGACTTGTTTCAACTTCTAATTGAAATTATTTGAACTACTGGGATCAAAGAAGACTGCAAGACTTATTTACTTCCCTAAGCAAACATGGAATATTTTTTAAAAATTATAAAGTTAAAACTGTGGACGCTATACACTGAAAATGTTTCTGTTACAGATGAGTAAACTCATGCATCTCAGCACAACTTCCAGGGCTCCTGCTACCCAATCTTCCCTGGTGGAAACACAAAGGCTTAAATGGGCTGTATTTCCAAGTTTTCACACTTAAGAGGTGCAATAGGAGGAACTGGTTACATGTAGTCAGGACACCTAAACAGCAAACTTTGCATTTATTTAAAAGAATTCAGAATTTTACGGCAGCAACTACACTTAAGGCTACATAACTGATCTGCTTAAGCTACAATTTTAGCTGTGTTCTATACTTAAAAATGGCTTATGCTTCCTACTGTAGTAATTTTACTCATAAAAACCTGAGACATGATTTTACTTAATTCATGTTAAGATCTGGAAGTTCACAGCAGGCTAAAAGCTGAATGCAAAGACAAACAGGACTGAGGTAGTCAGCTTTACTCAAATATTCTGTATGACAGCTACCAATTCATTGCCACTTTAAGTTGACACATTCCTTGGCAGTTCCCACAAGGTTACAGCTGCTAGCAGCTGCTAACCCACTGATGGAATAGAAGATGTTGCATTTTTCTGACCAAAGTACCTTCTACGCCCGACCCCCCAAAGTCATGTCCAGTTCTGCAGTTCACAGGCAGCTGAAGGGCTGCACAACAAAGAAATTACTTTCTCAGAAATCTCAGATTATTAAGGCAGTAGCAGGTTTACTTCACTGGAGTCACTGATGCAGCTACTTAGCAGCTACTTGTGATCCTGACCACAAGAGCTCCAACAGGCCGACAGATTTTTCCCTGTCAATACAAAGCACTACATCCCCGTTCTTTAATTAATGCATACAATTTAGAAGTAGGTAAGCAGCAACTTTCTAAGCCGTCTTTCAGTCAATTTTCAGGAAGAGAGATTAAAAGAAGAAAAGCCCTCAAGATAAACAACTGTGTAGAAGGTAAAAATATTCAATTAAATATGACAAATCTCACACTTAGACAGGAGACCAGCATATCAAATACGGAGCACAATAAAATAACACCAGTTAAAAAGTTTAACAGTTACAAAGTTAACCAGAAAGTTCAAACAGTGCAAACATTTCACAGTAAGAAAAAATAACCAGTAATTTCTTTTCAAGTATCAAAAGCATTGTTGTTGAGTGATAACATTTCAACTGTATTATTGCACAACAGACAAAAAAATACAATATCAACCTCTGGGACTCAAGACGTATTCTCAAACCTTTATGTTTTCCAGGTATCAGTTTACATGGACTGTTTCGTGGATATATTAAAATAGTCAGTGCTCATTTATCAATCTGAGTGTTTCCTAATTCAATTTGTACAATTTTAAAGCATTTGAGTCCTGACTTGTATTGCTTCTCTGAGACACTCATTTAAGGCTAGCCTACGTTTTGTGTAATTCACAGCAAGCTTAACCTGCAGTTAAGAAGAACTAGCCCAGTACAAGGTGCTGTCAACTGTGATGCCTTCAGACAGTTCAAGATTGCACCTTACTTGCCTCAGCAGTGTCATAGGAGTTTCCTTAAATAAATAAAAAAAAAACCCCTAACAAAATCAAGTCCAGTAGGCACAAAGAATTTCTTACAATCATGATGGAAGTCCTATTATTACAGTATAATTGTAGCTGAAGTTTTTCTCCATCTCCCTACCTTCCATTTAGGAAAGAGTTATAGTCACTGGCAATTATAATATCGCAGAACATTTAAGAAGCAGAGTAACATCATCCTTCTCCCTATATCTGCATTTTTTTGTGCACTGGGCATGTCTGCTCCCTCAATTTAACACTTTTCCAGGAGTGAACACTGTCCTAAAAAGACAGACAGTGGATTGAACCACCAAGAGTTTCTTTACCTCTGAACAGGATTATTTGTTACACATTATAGTCAGAAATAAATAAAAACATCCTTACAATTGTCCTATAGAGTAGCTGTCCTTACCTTGACAGATTTTACTCATTTCCTTCCTCTTATATATTTTGTCATCAAGAGATTAATTTTGTAGCAAGGTGTGCCCTCATGTGGCTCAAACCATCTGATTCTCATCTGACTACAACTACTCAAATAATCCATAGTATTTACATGTCCAAGAAAAAGTAGAGGGAAGAAAAAAAAACAGATTAGGCTTTCCTTACACATTCAATGTAGTTTTTGGTCTAGAGATATCAGCATGATCCTGTAAATTATAGCTGCCATTGCTAGTGGTTTGCTCTTCAACAGGAAGTGAGAACATCTGCAGTAATGTTCATACTAGTTTTGAAACAATAATGCCATTATTCATTATTTGAGAAAAAACCAACAACAAAAAAAAATTTTTACATTGTAAATGTTTACAAATTTACAGTCTGAGTATCAGTACCGAAATGTATTTGCGTAGCAAACTCTCGAGAATTTTTAAATGTAATGTATTAAATTTCTTAGTAGAAGGGGCACATGCTAAATGAAAATTGGATTTCTAGACAGTTGTCCTGGTTACCAGTCTAAAATTCCATTTTGTGCTTGTAGAAAGATGTAATGAACCCCAAGAATTAGCTGCTTTACCTAGTATGAATTCTGAGGGGGCTCAAAGCTGCAGAATCCAGTTATGGGAGGCAACTGCCAACCATAGGTCTATCCAGTTACATTCTTTCCTCCCCCATAAACTGTAGGAATTGACAAAACAAATAAACAAATTACCAGCCTCTTTGTACCTGGGTTATCAGCAGTGATGACAACTGATTTTTACATGGCTTTTGACTAAACCACTGAGGTATATTTCCAGTTTGAAGATGCTTTGCTACCAATCACACAACAGACATAACAAAAAAAACCAGCCCTCAGTTCTATTACAGAAGAGTTCTCATTTCAAATCACGACTGAGCTGCCAGGTAGCCTAACACAGTTGGCAAAGTAGATCTGGTTACTGTGTCAAAAAAAAAAAAAAAAAGTTGCAATTCAGGAAAATACTGGCACTTACTGAGATGACAAGATAAATTTTCCTGGTCTCAAAACTCTGCCTACTTTTGTCAGCACCTCCCTGACTAGTGTGTGCAGCGATACTTGCTGGGGGAGATGAGGTTCAGCAGGAGAGAGCTGCCTGTAGAGACAAAACCCCCATGCTCCACAGTAAGGAGTGCAGCAGGATGGGTATTATCTCAGAACTTCTTCTTGCTCCAAGCTCAAGTCTATGCACAGAGAAACAATCCTGTTAGCAGGGGAACTAAGTTGACCACCAGTAGCCAAAGCGTTACAACCAGGCTGGACGAGCAGGAGCATAAGTCTAAAATTTAAAAAAAAATAAAATAAAAAATTATAAATTTTACATTTAAAGACAAAATAACAAAGAGAACAATAAGAACCACAAAAGAGTTAAAACTAACTTCTTGACAAAACATTAACTGGTGTTTAGTGAATTAAGCTTTTTACCTTCCTCAAAAAGAAAACTGACTCTGATCTTTCTGCATTACCACATGAACACTATCAATAGGAGGTCATACAAGTGAGAACTCACTTTCCACCAAGGTAATAATCTTTAAGATTATAATAAGAATATGGCCTTCAAAACACAGGTCAGATTTCCTGGTAAGATCCCAGGCTAAAGCTAGATTTCTGAGATGACTACCAGAAGGAGACATAAAATGAAGGCATTATGTTTCAGACACATTTCTCCTGTGTTAGTCACTATTCTGCATGACTGCACAGCAAAAAGCAGGACACTTTTGCTATTTTCCTTTACCTCCTACACCTGGGATCTTAAAATAGGCACAGAGTTCCTTTCCCGTTCCTGACAGTAAAAACTGACACAAATCTTTGACGTTTTCAGATATTTAATACTGAAGTTTCACTTCAGCCAAAAAAGGCAACCTACCAATGGGTGCAGTTCTTGTTAAGTTAGAAGCTGGAGGATCCCTCTCTGGGGGACAGGAGTCACAGAAGTCTGAACAGGCTGGGCAAATCAGATTGCCAATGTGTATCCAGCCATTCATCTGGATGCTCACAGTCAACACCTGGCCTGAGCGGCTGCACAAGTATGCAGTGTCCTTGACCCACACATGCAGCCCTTGTGGAGAACAAGAAACCTTAAAATAAAAAAGAGTCAAGTCTGTATTATGATTTATCAGAAGCACAGAATAACTGCGAGTATTTTAATGCAATCTCAGCAACTATGAAATTCAGGAATGCTTTAAAGCACCGACTATACTCTTTTTGTGCATTTATGCAGACCATCAAATGAGAACAAGTAAAACTTGGCTTCTGCTAATGACTACTTTTGTGGAGTTGTGCAGTTACTGACTGTGACACCCTTAGCAAGATAGCCCCAAAGAAAATGAGGATAATGAGAAATAAGTGACATGTGCACAGTGCTTTCCACCTCTGAAAAGTCATAGTGACTAATTATGCTTCAACAACATAACATTTCATGGAAGTATTCCTTCTTAGCTGAGGATAAAGTGTCATGGGGTAATGGATGATGTCCCTAGTGAGCCTGGAAGTCATCCCAGCAGTCACACACTTAGCAAAATTATAGGCTTATGGTTGGAAGATTGTTTTCAAAGTATGTTATATGATCTATGGATTACAATGTCCAGTGTGCAGGTACAAAGTTCTAACAGTCACAACCTACATTTTAAGCCTGACTTTTCCCTTTAGGGTTATTAGAAAAGAAAACCCACTAAAAACACAGCAAATACTTACTTGATAACATCCACTACCCCAGTCAGGGTAACTGAGTTTCCTCCGGCACTGTTCCATAACAAAAGCAGATTTCTGAATAAGACATACAGAGTTTGGTCCATATTTCTCTGCACCATAGTTTTTGGTAGGATCTAAAGTAGGAGGAATATACTGAATTACAACTTTACCAGGGTAACAGAAAGCCCACATCAATTTAAAAGGTTATCTAATCAATGTCCCCACACGCAATCCAAGGTTTACTTTTAGAATATTTCAGACCCTGAATTATTATCAATTTGGGAATTATACTGTCTTGAAAATAACATGGGAAAAAATCCAAAATTTAAGAAACAAACAAAATAATCAACTAACCACAAAAAAAAGCTCAAACGAGCATGCACTTTCCATCAGAGCTATGTGGTTATGTTTGCCCTCAGGGAATGCCAGCTCAGCTTGCTGGCTTGAGGGCAGAGGGTGTTTGTTTTTGAGACAACTGCCAGGTAATATCCTACAGCATTCTGGAGCTCTGCAATACTGAACATCCATGCATTACACTAGGAGACAAGCTCAAGTTCTGGTAACTCACAAAGACCCTGGCCTTGAACAAAAAATCTACAAAGGTGAAAAGTGCAATTATGTTTCAGAGACTCAATAAACAACCCTGGCCTCAATCCCCATCCTCTGTCTTGTATTTGGATCATTTGGGTTAAATATCTGTTCATTCCTTAAGCAATTCTTGCATTAGATATGTGAGTTTGCCTCAAGTGTACAGAAGAGTTTACTATGCTTCTTACCACAGCACAAGTGTTTACACAGCTGGTGGTGTAAGACTTCACAAGTGAAAAAATTCACATGCAATTAGTTTGAATGTGCAGCAAGTCCATTCCAACTTAATGAGAGCAATCTCTGCAATACCATCCTGAAGTCCTGAATACTGACCTGGTTGGTTTTCAATTATTCTACAGTCTGAACTGCGTTGAAATTCACCACTTAAATGCCAGCTGAATTCCTGACTGAAGGGACAATAGTCAGCAATTTCTACTGAACCACCATAGTAAGGCAATTCTTCTGCTGGTACTCCATTAAGATTGTCAAAGTACTGCAAAACAAAATACAGTAGTGAAGCAGTTTGTGCAAAGGGAAGCGTACAGCTGTTTTTAAACAGACCAAATCACTATAGCTGCAAGAACATCAGCTGTTACTATTCAGGAATACTACTAACAGCATCTTACAATACCCATGAACCAGATGAGCCAGAAGTATTTAAGAATACATAAATAATGCAGAGATTCATATCTGCATGTATCACTCCCAGCTTATGCCCCTGATTCCCCTTTTTGTAATAATTTCATTCTTTGGGATGTAATCAGAACAGATTTTTTAGTGTACAGTGACAAAGGGCAGAAGGCTGGGAGAAGAAATCCCACAAACAAGACATTTTGAGGGATTTCTGTTACAAAGCAACATTTCTATCTGGTATTTGGCTAGATAGCCAAGCAACATCATTGTCTTTTATTAAGATCACAAGGGTTTTTATCAATCTTCAGACTCCTTGTAATAAACCAGGTAGACATTTTTCACAGTATCTATTGTCATGTTAGTTCAGAAGAAAAAAAACTGAAATATAATCATCAGGCTGCGAGGCTCAACAATGAAAACACTTCAGTTATTTGTAAAGTAGAATCCATTATACCTGATATTCCTGAGGTAACTGCTTTGGAAACTTCTGCAAGTTGCACACTGCTACTGCTCTTTGGTCCTGTCTGCAAGTTAACTGCAAAGGATTACTCCTCAAAGTGTCGCAGTATGGACTGATTAATTGCTTCCTCAAAAACAAAAAGCAAACAAAAACAGAATAAAAATCACATCAGGTCAATTCAACTGCTTTACCTAAGCAGCCTGTCAAGACTGTTTGTTCTCATTCTCCCCTAGACTCAATCACATGAAGCACTGACTTCTTCTTTGGAGGCTAGTTTTTCTTATTTGTCTGGTTATGACCTTTATGATGTAAAGAATATCAAGCCAGCAAACAAAACACATTCACCTATTTCATTTTAATAACACTGTTTTGTAAACTTTAAAGAAAAAAATATACAAGCAAAACAGGCCCACTGTGCAGCTGTATCCTAGAAATGTTTGAGGATTGTAAAGAACAAACAAGGTTGTAAGGAACAAACAAGGCAGGCTGTGTTTTGAAGATGGCTATCACCTCCTTCAGCTGTACAGTACAGTAATGCAAAATGACACAGGCTGCATTCCCAAATAAAAGGGACAAAATAAGAAGGCAAACACCTTTAGATTTAGTCCTACCCACCCTCTCTAAAGCACAGCCTTCTCATAGTGTAAATGCATTCTACACCCTAAGATGTTTGCCTCTGCATTTATTGTAATTTCATGGGATGCAGGGCAGCATCCCTTTTTCATCTCTACCAACCTCTACCTCTTTTTACTGAGTTACATTTGAAGGACAAATGTAAACATGCATCAGGGTTTCCTCTTTATTTTTAATTTTTTTTTTTTGAAGACTGTATTCTTACTTTTGTCTCTTCTGGTCAATCCAGAATTTGCAGCTCTTCATTACAAAGTCACAGCCTTTATTGCGTCCCCAGTCTAATTTCTCTGCCATGCTGTAATTTGCTTTATACCATCTGTAAAGGTATTTTGAAATGAGAATATAGTTACTTCAAAAATTTCTACTCTGATTAATAAAACAGCAGTTCAAAGAATTTCATATTATGCCTTAAGGTTTTTAAATTAAGAAAAAGGAAACTGCATCTCCTTCTGCCTATAAGAAAATTCATTACAATTTCACTATTTTTCAAGTCACAATGAACTAGAAGAAAATTTTGTGATCTGCAAAGTAACAATGCATACAGAAAGATGAAACCTTAGGCAATTTCGGCTTTCTATCTGCAAGAGCTGAAAAAAAAATAATATGTACTGCACACAATTGAAAGACTTACATTAAGACAAAAAGTAAATAGATGCCACAAACAGGACTTTGCATTGCAATGCCTGGCTTTTTAAGGCTACATTAAGAAAGGGTTTTGAGATATGTGAAGAAAAAATAACATACAAGGTATAACTCCTTGTCTAATGTAAAGCTAATTATGCTGGTTATTTACTCTGCTGCAGAGGGATAAGTGCATCAATTTGAAATAAAATCAAGTACAATGAAAACCAAACACAATTTAACCAAACCCCACCCTCCCATTCTTAATTCTTACCCTGTATCTTCCATTAATGCTAAGGTGATCCTGGAAAAGACTCGATTCTGAGTGTGGGATCCAGTCATTGCTTCATTCTGAAAGTTACCAGTTATGATTGGTAAGCCACTCAAAACCATTATGGTAAGAAAATGTTTCTTAAGCAAAAACATTTTATTTCTGGTCTCTTTTTACTATTGAAAATCAAATTTCATATGCCTTCATAAAAAGACTGTCCTAAAGCATTTCCCTTCTTGTTTACCTCACTGCATAAAACAATGACTAGACAATGCACCTCTGCCAAAAATATCACACAGCGCTAAGTTACAAATAAAAATTAGCTTAAATGTTAAGAGGGAAAAAAGTGGGGTTTTTTATCAGGCAAGGTTCTGGAGGAGGCATGGCAAAAGCTAAAGCCAGGGCAAGTGAATAAAGATGAAGTGAAGGTAATAAATAGAATGATGAAGTAATTGAGAGGCAGAAGGCAACAAAATTCAACTGACTCAAAGGAATATCCCCTTTGCCCTAAAATGGGAGCAAACCTTCTCAAAAGGGTAAATGGCAGACAGGAGTAAGAGACATTTAGCTTTTCAGTAACACTTGATTTCATACTCTGAAACTCAGCAAGAAGGCTAAATGACAGATGATTCTAGACATTGGACATTTAAATATTTAAGTATCAAGTACTATTTGTGATGTATTTCAATGAGGTTTGATACTCCTGCATTTTCAAGGCTCCAATAGGTACCACAATAAACCTAAAAGTCAATAATCCAAAAGCATAGGGAGCAGACATTGCCATATCCCCTTCCATTCCTAGTAACAGCACAAACCTCCAACAATCTCTTCTCCCAGTGATTGAGCTCAGTACCCATGCCACCTTGATTTTCAAGCTCCATCCCCTCTAGAATTGGACAATTAAAATGTTTTCGGGCTTCTTCCTAGAAAGAAAACATTTCAACACAACTCTCAAAATACCGAGATGGATACCCACATGCAGTCCTGGTGCTCTAGAATTATTTGTTAAAGGTATTTCAGCACTTCTTTTTGTTTTCTACTCAGAGACTGACTAAGCAAACACCCCAAAAGCAAATCTATCATACTACCTACTCATCTCTTCGAAATAAATGAGCAAAACTGGGGTAATTAATCCGTGTTTGCTCTATATACTTAGATTTGAAACAAAAAGATTATTTGTGGCCAAATGTGATTAGCACTATGACTTATTTCCAAATCCAATTTATTACACTTGAGCATATGTTTTGTTGGGGGGGCACAAAGAGAGAGTCTGAAGCGTGGGAAGCAAGAAAGATTTACAAAAATCCTTGAGGAATTTCTTTTTTAAACATGGCAAAATATTAATATTAAAGGAGCAGTAGGTGTCTTAAGTCTGTAGGAAAACATCTAAAGAGCAGGATTAAGGAATTTTTTCAACATCAGTTTTGCTTAACCTTTTATAATTTACCTTCCAGTCCATTTTCTCTTATTATGTCAATTTATTTATTTCATATTGTCACCCATTTTCTACACCCTCTCAATTACACAACATTAATGGCACAGGCTTTGGGCCATACTTTCAGGGAAGGGTATTCAGTGTTAGGTCATCACTTCTTCAAGGATAAGAAATATTTATGACTCAAGAATGTCCTGGTAACCTTGGCATACAAAGCTTGAAAGGTAATGCACACTTACGACTACCCGAGGCGTCACCAGAAGATGAACAGCATGGCGCAGCATTTTGCCACCACGTATGTCCCACAGCCTCACTGCTTTATGAACAACTTTATTGCTCCACTGATACAAACCTAGGCTGTAAGGAGAAGGTTTGGTTACAAATCCTTCCCACAAAGACAGAAACAGAATCATGGATAGTCTCTATACTCCCTCATGCTTTCTAAATTTAAAAATTTTACTATGCAGCATTTTCTCCTTTGTAAGATGTGTTTATTATCCACCCAACTGACTGAACAAAGCAAAAAGTAAGATTATTAAAAATATAGTCTGCAGGCTCAGGGTACATTTTCTACAGTTACCAAAAATGTAAGAACCCCTCAGTATTGCTATTATAAAAAAAGCTCTCTACCACCTCCTAGAAGAACAGCTACAATACCAACTAAAAAAAGAAAAAAAGAATGTAAACTTCTCATTGTGTACCAAATCAGAAAATTCACACAGCAGATTACACACATCATTCATTCTGCATAACTATAAATCTTGACTGATATAAATCTTAAAAATGAACTGCACTGACATTAGACAGCATGGATAAGTGTAAGGTTTTTCCAGCCTCCTGATAAATGAAATACTGTCTTAGTTTATAGTGTATGTGGATAATAAAAGTGCTTGATGGCAATGTAAAGAAAGACTAGAGGGTCACCACATACCACTGTTTGAATACTATAAAGGAAAGTCACTCTTGTAATGGAATGAAGTTGGATATTCAGCAGGCAAGAATACATCCTAAAAAAGCAACATGAAAACATCCTTCAGTGGGAGTACCAAGAAGTACAAAGACTATGTACATACCTTTCATTAAAAGGAGGAAGTCCATCTGCGTATCTTGGTGTCAAAGGTTTTCCATCATCATCACGATAAAATGCAAACAGTCCAGCAGAGAAACCCTTCAAAAAACAAGTACATGGAACCCTTTGGTAAAACATATATATACAAAGTCAAACACCATGAAAGAATCCCCACACCCACCAGAGACACACTGGAAGCACAACACTCCAAGGCAATTAATACAAATTGAAGGAGGCAAAGCAAGAGGTTTTCTCCACCAAACATCCTTCTCTTGGCAACAAGCTGGAGGCATGTGAACAAGCAGGCACTCATTTCAGGGCAACATTTTATCAACCCTTACCAGTGCATGGATTATCTCATGTTTCACTGTAGACAACATGCCAACAAATTCCTGAGCTTGCGTTGAAATCATGTTTGGACACAAGTTAGCATATCCTGCTATTGGTCTGGAAGACAGTTTTAGAGTTAAATGGTTTTCAGTAAAGTACTACAAAATTCAAATCATTATTCACTTGAAGCAGCAGAAGACTTAAAGATACAGACTAATGCAAAAATATGTCCTTCCTAATCATTTATAAATATTTGTTAACAACACAGTGACTCGTTTACTGTTGAGATGGGGTCAGTCAATCTCTATATTCAATATTCTGCACAGATGTCAGTGACAACAGTGCAAGGGACCTAAATTTTAGGTAAGATCCTAGGGAGGTACAAACTCTGGGACAGCGACTACAACTGAGATGGAAACAAAAGCGATATAAGTAAGAACTTGCATTCTTTGAGTTTGTGTAATCATGACATTGACCTCAACAGACACTTGAAACAGAAAAAGAATCTTGAGATAGGCATTTACAGTGGAGGATCAGCTTTGAGTTCTGTGCCTCAACTGCAAGTAAAGCACTATTTGATGGGTTTGTGATTTTATATAAATGCAGTGCTTGTCTACCTCAATAATGACTCCTCCTTTATTATACAACAAAGACAAACAATCAAATTCCACTTCTGAACAATCAAAAAACTTGAAAGCTTAATTTAAAAGCGAGTTTGCAACAGAGGGAATACTTGCCTGTCCATTTCAGCTTCCAGTTGGCAGTAGGCTGCATATGCAATGATATTTTCATGGCCACACCTGTCAGTAGTGAGGGCACTAACGTAGAGCACAAAGTCAGCATCTCGAACCCCTTCCTGGTCAGGTAAACCCGTGGGCCTGCGGTGCCAGTCGCTGTCATTGTACACCCTGCATTGCTTTACAAAGGGAACAATTAAAATACTTTACTGATGACCAAAATTTTGCATTACACAATTCAATTAGCTTGAAACCAAGAATAAATCCTGTTGTAAGAAAGCAGAAGATAAGAAAACGCCCAGTGAAGAACAGTAAACAAAATCAGAGCCAAGGAATAACTTTCAAATGACTAGCTCTTTTGATTTATTAGACTCAAGGAAGGTGGCAGCTTTAAAAAAACAAAAAATAAAGCCTGTCAAGCCTCCCAGAATTAGCACCCTGTATTTCCTTTAAATTTAAAACAAAAAAATCTTGGCTCACAAAGCTAGTATATATAACTAGCAATAGCATTTCTCATATAATCTATCTTTTTAATGATACAGTCAAAACTTCCAAGTTAAAGAAAGAAAATCAGAAATCTACTGATCACATACTGTAGTTGAATCAAGAAAACAAGTCTGAAGCAATTCTTGCACCATGCTCCTGAGTCAGTGGATAACCTCTTCAAACAAGGTCTTTGAAAATCAACTGCTAACTGTGAAATTCCAACTCATTGACCAAGGAGAATAACAAAGTGACTAACAGCAATTTAGCAAGCTCCAAATCTCATCCTCTCCATACAGGCTATTAGAACACAGGCTCAGAAGACAGCAATCAGTTCCAGTTTTTTTATTTGAGTTTTAATTCACCAACATAAACTACAGAAACTCACACTAATTTAAGTTTTTCTATTCTTTCATTCAGACTTAGTGATCTCCAGCAAACAGGTCACTTATGCACAATTACCAAGGTTCACTTTTTCATTAATTACCACAAGCAGTATTATTTCAAAGATTAGGAAACACTTGGGACGGCTGAGCTTACCTGGAGGTGTTTCTCAGGAACTATAACTGGCCCACACCTTGTATGGTCTGCACAGGCTTTTTGGCAATATCTGTGAGGGTCAGCTTTCCTCCTTAAATATTGGTTTGTCACACATTGCCTTCAATGAAATGTGAGACAGTCAATGCATTCATTATTGAAGGAGAACTATAGAACAGCTTACAACTTTATGTTGGTACTCGATATAAATTTTACAGTGAAAATTATTAACTACCTTACCAGGGAACACATAATGCTTCCACTTGTTAATGGAGCATCCACAGGTTCAAACAGAGATTAGGATCAGGTTCATAAAAGGGAGTACACATAAAAGAGAACTGTCAGCATATATAGCTTTGAATGTCTCTGCTGCAACAAATGCAAGTGTTGGTCATGGAAGATTGGCAGATTTGTAAAAGAGAATCTGCCACTGCCACTGGATCAGATGGGTCACTGATCTGATTCAGCAGGGTATTTCTTACACTCTAATCTTCTTTTAAAGGCTATGCAGCACAGTGTTAAAAATCAAATATAGCAACAACATTTTGTAAACAATATTTTCAACAGACTTTCACACACCTGCTTAGCAATATAGCACCGGCAGATTTGCGCACTTGAAACGTCTTCTCCAAGTAAGATATAGCTTGTGGGAAGAGTTTGTTCTGAAAAGAACAAAAATAAGGGTCACTCATAAGCAGGGCAGACACAACTCACCCCAAAGGCATTAACTACCAAGTTACATGAAACTTGCTAGATATTGTGGTATAGCAGAATAGGGGAAAGCCTGACTCTCAAAGAAGGTCAATTATTATCAACATAATTAGGAAATACTTTGTTTCAGTATTCCCATATGTTGTTTTTGGAATGAGAAAATGGGAAGGAAACCAGTATTAATTATAATGTACAGCTTCAGAGAGGCTTTTAAAAACACATTTCTCACTGATACCTTTGCACCTTGGGATATAGCAAACACCTGTCAAACAACATGCAGCAGAACTCTGGAGTTATTTGTTATGAAGGTATAATCTATACATAAAGCTTTGGTTTCCTGGATTAGTGGAATATTAAATAGATGCCATTCAAAGCTTTAGTTAAACCAGCCCTAAGCTTAACTTCATCCCTGTAATAAACTACATACAAACAGAAAGGGGAAGCAAACAGAACATACCTTTATAAGGTGTCTTTTCTCAGGCAGCAAACTATATTTAAAAAACAAAACACATGACCTTTAGTTAACAATGTTTCCATTCTCACCCATGGATAAAAAAAAAACTGCCGCAACATTATACTCACTCCTCAACGCTTGTGTCATATACGATCTTAATTCTTAGCTGTTGATCCACGTTTCTCTTCGAGACGTGATTTTCCTTTAGAGGAACTTGATAGACGACCTGTCAGGGAGAGGCAGGAGGCGCTGGGTGAGGCAGCTCACCCGGACTGACACAGCACCCCGCGGCCCCCGGCCCTCGGCTCCTTCTCGCCCGGCAGCACCGCTCGGTGCCGGCCCCTTCCAGCCCTTCCCGACCCTTCCTTCACCGGCAAGAGGATGCTCCGCGCCCGCCCGCCGTCGTTAGCGCCCACAGCCGGGGCGGCGGGGCCAGACCCGGCACAGCTCGGCCCGGGAAAGCCGTGAAGGGACGGACCCAACAGCGGGAACGGCCAGCAAGGGAGCCTCTGCCCCCCAGCAGCCGTCGCAGCCACCTGAAGACCCCCAGCCACCCCACCTGGTCGCCGCTGGGTACGCGGTGGTTACAGGAGGAGGAGGAGGAGGCGCAGGGAGGCAGCGGCAGGAGCAGCAGGAGCCCGGCGGCCAAGACGGCGAGCGGCGGGCGGCAGCAGCGGGTGGGCCGGGT